CCCATCGCTCCTGGGGCCTATTTATAAAATTATAAGTCAACTGAAACAGTGTCTACAAACACTATCGATTCAACAAGACAATAATTATCTTTCCCCCTTTCTGTGCTTGTGTCTCTTCAGTTTGACTTTTTCTTTTTAAATGGGACAGGGTCCAAAAGCAAAATATAAAGAGTTTAATGGGGGAGAAAAGCAGAGAAGAAACAGCAAGAAGTTTCCTCTAGGGCTCATGACACCACAGAGCAATTCCAACATTTTGCATTAGGATGTGAGCACCTGACGGGCATGTGAGGCTGGGTACCTCCAATGGTGGTGCTCAGGAAGGGGTAACCTCACCCCCACCCCAGGGCCTCCCACAATAAGCTGAGGGTTCTGCCCACCCCTGCTCCTGTACAAAGGGGGAAAGTTCCCTCAGCTTTATCCACAGCCAAGGCTGTGTCAGACAGGGGGTTTCCAGCTCTCCCAGGCCTGTCACACAGACTTTTCAACTAGCAACAGGAGCATCATCAGACAACTCTTTTTCTGATTGGCTAAATTCTCATCAGCAAGGTGGTGCTTTGAGCTCCTGCCAGCTGCCTCCCCCTGTCCCGCCTTCTCTGGAGTTCTCCCGAAGGGCCAATTCCTCCTGCATTACACATGCAGACACCCACTGTGGGCCTGGCCTGAGAGGAAGTCAATCCAAGCACCTCTGCCCGCCCACTGTTCCCTGAGCTTTCCCCTCACAGCCTCCAAGTTAGGCCTTCTGTGCGCTCACTTCACAGGCAACTTCATGAATTTTACTCAAGTACCACATCTTCAGAGAGAGCTTGTGACAGTCCTAGTTAAATGTCACTTGGATCATGAAACGCTTCTTGCTTTTTTTTGACAGTGTTCCTCATATGGGTTAAAGTTACAGGAGACGCCCTCAGCTCCATGAGTAGATGGTGAGACTCCAGGAAATAAAAAGAAATAGTCTCCTCTGGTCAGCATCCCCCGGAAATTGGTCAGCGAAGTTTAGTATGAAACCAAGATCAATTTATCACCAGAAGGGTCCCCCAAGGTTACTGTGTCAGGAATCAAGAAATGCACCTCGTGAAGCACTTGTGGGCGGTAGTAAAATAATACAGAGGGTGCTCCAGGGTATTGTTCTTCTTCAGTAAAAATATCTATCAGTGGGGCTGGAGAGATGGCTCAGTCGTTAAGAACACTGGCTGCTCTTGTAGAGGACCTGAGTTCAGTTATCAGCACCCACAAGGTGGCTAACAATCATCCATAACTGCAGCTTCAGGGGATCCAATGCCTCTTCTGACCTCCACAGGCATTGCATGACACAGGAGCACTTTCATACATGCAGGCAATATACTCATACACATAAACTAAAAATAAATAAAATTTTAAAAAGAATGCTTTTTATGAGGTATGCTTGGCAGAAAGGACACACAAAATGCGTCGCCTCACCGTGACACCTATTGTCACCTGCATGTTGCACTCTGTCTGGCAGATGAGCTGACTTATGATGTATGATAAAACTATACGGAATTTTATGGTTCCTTCTGGTTTTCCTTACATATATGCAGGCAAGATACTCATACACATAAAATATTTTTAAAATATTTTTTAAAAAATCTATAAAAAAGAAAGTTTAAAAATATATATAGATTTCAAGTCATTGCCCCTAAATTTTTCTTTTTGTAGCTATTTAAACTTCTATGCCAACTCTTGAGTATTCAGGCATTTTGACTTTTTAATTATATTCTATACATTTTTTTTCTTCAAAGTCACATTTTAGAGAACCCAAAAAATGGAATTAGTAGTCGAGTGACTATTTCAGCTCTTGGAGATTTAGCTTTGCCTACAGAAAGTTCACACACTACGGGACCACTGTCATGAATGAGATGTAATTTATAAATGTTGCTGCAAGCTGTGATAAGCTATACACACTTGAGTTTCTGCTTTACAAGTTGGGTCTTTGATGCCCCCCAAAGGTGATAGAACGTGTGAATTGCAGAAGAGCCACAAGCCTCATAAGGGAATCTTTTAAAGTGGCTAACGTACCCTAAATTGGCAGGCTGGCCTTGCTCAAGCCTTATCAACTGGTCGCTCCCTGGACTGAGGTAAACTGTTTATGGAGCCAACCTGTCTCCTTTAGTGACCTAAGATAAATCACCTGCCTGAGAAAATAATCTTGAGAGAGAGAGAGACCCTCAAGGACACCAGACCCTGGCACCGAGCAAATTCCTGCAGCTGCGTTCAACAGAGTTCTTATTGAGTCCAAACTGCTGTGCCCTTCATTGCTGACACCCTCATTCCGCAGAAGGGTTTACCAGCCCTTTGCTCTGTTCTTTGAATAAAGGAGACATTCCTTGCCTGGGGCAGGTCTGGTTCTGACTCTTGTTTCTAAACTTTAAACTCCTTCCTTTTTCTGTGCTCCTAAACCTAACAAAAGGTCCATGTATTAAAACCCACTGCATTACTGGGAGGTGGTAGAACACTTGGGATGTGGAGCCTAGCAGGGGGGATGTAGGCCCTTGAAGGGAATATTGACAGTCTGGCTATTTTGGAGAGAGGGGAGAACACGTGGGATGTGTAGCCGAGCGGGGGGTATGTAGGCTCTCGAGGGGAATATTGACAGTCTCTCCCCTTTCTCCTCTCTCTCTCTCTCTCTCTCTCTCTCTCTCTCTCTCTCTCTCATCTCTCTCTCTCCCCCTGGGTGCCATGAAATAAGCTTCTTCCTTCACGAAGTGCTCCCACTGAGATGCTCTGCCTTGCTTCAAGCTCAAAGGTAATGGGGTCACGTGATTGTGGCTGAAACCCCTGAACAAGTAAACCAATGTAAATCTCCCCTCCTTAGAAGCTGATTGTAACACCTGCCGGAATGGTATTGGAAGAGGCTTTTCTAAAGCCTAAGTTGTAAATGAGATCCAGATTCTCAAAACATAATAAGTATCCAAGTTACAACGGTTA